TCTGTTTTGGATCATAAATTGTTTCTCATTTGTAATTGATCAAATCCCAAAATATTAATATAATCATGGCCAAATCAAACAAAATATTGTATAGTATATTTACTAAAAAATATAGTATTTATTTTCGCTCTATAATGGTAAATTTTTATAAGTTTTGTCCATTCTCTCGTTTTTCCCATTGTAAAATGTAATTTTTTTATTATTTTTTAAATTATCATATGCTTCAAAATGCATGTTATATTGCCATTACTATCATTCAGTTACAATTTTCCATAATCTTTATACTCTTTTTTTCTTGTTTTCCCCGAAAAAATAGAGAAAAAAAGGTAATTATAATCAATTTCTTACCAATAATTATTAAAAAATAAACCAAGTTTTATCGAATTTTGGAAAACCCAAGTGTTCGACCTCCCCCAGTTTTGGAGACCGTGATCAAATTTTCGAATGGTTAAATATGTTACAAAAAAATATTACATTTATTTACCAAAAATCACTCATTGTAAAAAATGATTGTATTAAAAATGGTATATTTAATACAAAGTGTAATAGTAGGTTACAAATTTATTTATAAACAAAAAACTAGTACCTAATAATTATATTACTCAACTGTATAATAAAAATAATAATATGTTATTAATATCATTAGATGACGTGATATTAACTCGCCGATTCCCACTATCTCTCATTTCAGTAATCTTTGTATTCTAAATGTGGGTCGGGGGCTGGCTTTAAAACCCGCAATAAAATTTTTACAATTTTTTAATTGTTTTTAACGATAAGTAATAACTAAATTATCTCATTAGCTTCGATGAACAATAGTGTTCGATGGGAAACAACCTTTACCAATTGATGTCACACTCGATGGTATCGTAATAGTTTTCAAACTATTGCACCAACGGAAACAATAATTGCCAAATGATTTAACACTCAAAAGTGATGTAACACTGCTTAGATTTCCGCATCTTCGAAACAATATTCACCAATTGATATCATGCTTGATGGTATGTTGACAATAATTAAACTACTGCATCCATGGAAACAACTATCACCAATCGATGTCACACTTGATGGTATTGTAACACTACTCAAAATACTGCATCCACAGAAACAACCATCACCAATTAATGTCACACTTGAAGGTATAAAAACTTTACTGAGACTATGACATCCACTGAAACATTCATTACCAATTAAAATAACACTTGATGGTATTGTAACACTGCTTAGATTTCCGCATCTACTGAAACAATTACTCCCAATTGATGTCACACTCGATGGTATCGTAACACTACTCAACACACCACATTCATAGAAACAAGAACAACCAATTGATCTCACACTCGATGGTATTGTAACACCACTTAAATTACTGCATCGACTAAAACAAAAATTACCAATTGATGTCACACTTGATGGTATTGTAAAACTGCTAAGACTACAGCACGAACCAAAACAACCATAACCAAGTGATGTCACACTCAATGGAATCTCATTCCCATATTTAAAACTATCATTTTGAGTGTAAGTGACATTTTTAAACTCGATGTTTCGACTTTTGTTTCTGTCAACAGTTTCAAAGTCAACATTGAACCACACAATAATTCGAAAGAATTTTTTCTTTATAATTACCATATTTCCATTGTCTTCATTTTCTTTTGTGTTTATCATAAATTTATTGCCAAAATTCTCATCCGTTACATACCACAAGTGAAGTGTCTCGATGTTTGGAAAGTATCCAATTGTTTTAAAATTTAACGAAATTGGGTTGAAGTGAAACTTTCCCATATTGCCTCCAAACTTCTTGCATACCAACTCCAAGTTAATAAAGTCTCTGATAGTGACAAAGTATTTTGAGACTATCATGGCATGATAACTGCCAAGTCTACACATTTTGAAATTCACAGTTTTTCGGTCTTTAAATATTTTTAAAATTCGTCTTTGCAAACAACTTTAAAGAATTATTGATTAATATATAAAGTAAGTCTGGAAACCTTATTTATCAACAAAAATAGGTTATTTTTTTGTTATTTGGTTTTGTTTTTCAAATTTTTATTTTTTTTCACTTGAAATCCTTGTTTTTTTTACAATTCAAACGAACTTAAACAATTTGACAAATTTGATTTTTTACGCTCAAACATCGCGTATAACAACAGAGAGTGGTGCCGTTGTTGTAAGCAGCGGTTGGGCGGATTTTTGTGTGAGATGACAGATGCAACACGAGAATTTGACAAAAAACAACTTGGATTTAATTAAATAATTAATAAAAAACAACGAAACAATCATAATCAAAAAGAAGACCACGCTTGGCAGACTCGAACATCGAATTGCAGTTTAACGGTCGAGTAAAAGCCGTTCACAAGAAATTGTCTTAACTATGTGGGTGTCTGTTTGCTCTCTGAAAAAGTGTCTTAAAAAAGTAGAAAAGAACTTTCGCCTAAAAGCGAAATTTTCAAAAAATGATCCAAAAAACTCAGTTTGTTTACGGTATTTTCCAGTTATTTTAGGTAAATTACAACATTATTATCACCATTTATTGACAAACAGAAAAAATGAAATGCTTGGCTATATGACTTTAACCCCATTAATGTTTTTGGTTGTGTTATTTGAAAATAGTTTAAATAATAGTAATAT